CGTAGGTTCTGGTTTGTGTGGCATCACCAGGCAGCAGTGTGTCACCAGGAGCGACAGAGGCAAGCCATGGCCATTGCCCACCACCACAGAGGGCTGCTCAGGAGGGCTTTCTGCATCTGGAGGGAAAGCACCCAAGGATTTAGGATAGAGTGAGTGGCATTTCTACTCCAGAGCTCCTTCCACTCAGGCCAGCTTTGGCTGAAGCTCCATGTGCCCACACGTAGTGGGGTGTCAGGTTGGGCTGGTTGTATGTCCTAGAAATTCAGCTTGAAACAAGGGACAGGCCCTTGGAATCCTGTCATTGGACTCTGATGCTCTGAAACTCAGCTACACCTTGCTTCCTGCCTGGGATGCATGTGGTTAGTGGCAGGGCATAGACTAATGAGCCCACTCTCAGGTGGTTGGACAATTACTAGTGGGCAGGTTATGACAATGTTTACCAGACCACAAGGCTACAGGGGAGAGTGCATGCAGCCCATGTGTCTGGTGCAGACATGTCCATCATTGAAGCCTCATGAGGTTTCCTGAAAAATTTTGAATGTCTGTCCTTTTTTGGGAGAGGCCCAGGTCATCAGACAGCTCTTCAGAGAACCCTTCACCCCCAGAGCTCAGTGAGGATGAGGGTTAGGGGCTACAAAGGGGAGTTCTAGGCCCTTGTGGGTTAGCCCCTGCTGAGCTTCTCCTGTTTCTCCACAGGAGGATGGGCAGGGCACAGGCTGTACACTTCCACTCAGCACGGCTCCTGCGTTGGGCCTGGAGCATGTGGAGGGAGGTAAGGCTTTGGCATGGGCACAGCCTGCGTGTGGCTTTTGGACAGGTGGAGCTGTTTGTCCTCATGACTCAGAGCAGACAGATGGGTTCCTCCATATGCCTCTGGTCAAGGGCACCTGTGAGGTAGTGCTAACTCACTTTTGTGAGGGATTGGCTCAAGGTCCTTTATGTATGGGCCTGTTGTTATCTGAACTTACTGAACGTAAAGTTCCTGGTCTGGCTGGTCACAGAAACTCTACTGAGGGTGTAACATTGAAGCCAACACCTGTCCAGCATTTCTTGTCAGGCACTTGCTCATTTGACACCCACCAACCCCTAGGAGGTATGCATTTATAGATGAGATTGACGCTCAATTGGTGTATTCCCCTTATGTGAGCTCACAGATTGAAAAATCAGAGACATGGCTGCAGTGAGCCCCGTCCTGGCCCTGGGCCCACAGTCCCCACTCTTTCCTGTGTACAGTACCTAGCCCTGAGGATGGAAGAGCAGCAGAAGCTGAAGCGTGCAGCCCTGCACAGCCAGCGCACCCTGCTGCACAGGGCTCTGCGGAAGTGGCTGGTAGGAGCCAACTCTTTCTTCCAGGTCTCCTCACTTTGGGGGTAGGGGAAGTTTCTGAAAGTGTTTGGGTTCCTTTCCAGAGTGATTTGGCAAGGCTCAAAACATCAGGGTATCCCGAAAAGTGCTGCCTGGGGTGCCAGCCTTCTTGGAAATGTGGTTTCTGACTAAGAGTTCAGGAGTTGGGACTTGTGGAACATTATAGTGGAGATGGGTGCTGGCCTTGGAATGGAGACATTCAACTTCTTCCCACTCTGAGAGCTCTGGCCTGGCAGCCACTGTGGTAAATGCACCTCTGAGACCAACTTGTACAGGGAGAAGTTTGGGCCCAGGGGTGACCTCCAGTCCTCCTCATCTCCCACAGCTTTACCAGGACAGGGTGAGGAGTGTTCTACAGGAGGTGGCAGCCAGGGAGAGACAGCACACCAGGCAGCTGCTGTGGTGAGTCCTCAGTGCCTTTGGATCTCTCAGGCTGAGGAAAGATCCTTCAGAATCAGGTGTGGGAGGTGGGGCAGTGCTGCCTCAGAGAATGGCCTCAGCGCTTCCTACTGCTTAAGCGTTTGATTCTGGCTTTTCCACTGCAAGCCATGCGTCTTCTGGCTCACCTCAGCATGCCCTGATCTGCCCTGTGTAGGTAACCTGGAAGGTGCTCTCACACAGACCCTCACCAGAGGCTCACATAGGAGCCCGTTTGTCATGGTCTGAGCATTTTTTTCCTCCATGCTTCACACCTAACCTGTAGCTCTGACACACTATTTCATCCCCACGCCTGTCTGCAGCCGGCAGTCTCTCTGTCAGCTCCCAGTCTGTCTGCCCCTCTGGCACCATCTGTAACTCTCACTCCACCCCGACTTCTTATAATCCAAGTACTGAACTCATTCCTTCCCAGTTGGACTCTCCTGCTCCCTCTCCCTTTGTATTTGTTCAGCACACACTGTTCTGGCTGTGTGTAGGCCATGGCCCTTGTGGACTTTAAACCCCATCACTCCTCGGAAGTCCCACAAACCACCATCCAGTCCCTCAGATAAACTAGAATGAGAAAATGAGAGAGCAAGGAGGTGCTGGGGTTCATGCTTATCTCACTGTGATCTCACTGTGAATCATCTGAGTTGTTATCGTCTGGTTACAGCTGTGCTCTCTTTATCATACACCTCCTGGGGACTCAGTGATGGCCTGGTGGACTGCTGGCCACCTGGTCCCAGCTAGTAACTGGCACAGTGCAACTCAGCATCAGTTGTTGGGCGTAGACAAGAGCATGATCTTGAGGGTCATAAGGCAGATGCTCTGAGGCACAGAGTCCTTACTCAGGCATGGGAGAGAGTAGGTGTGTTTTACAGAAGCCTCTTAGGCCTATCCAAACTGTGGCCATTCCCCTTACCTGGCCCATGTCATTGCAGGTGGGTGTTACATCGCTGGAGAGAAAACACCATGGCCCGTTTGGATGGGGCCAAAAAAACCTCTCAAGCAAGAGTCCACTACAACAGGACTCTGTGCTCCAAGGTGAAGTACAAACTGGTTACCAGGGAGCTTGGGACTCAGATTACAGTCCTTATTAATTAGCATGTAATAAGGACTTCCCAGAGTGGGTAGGTAACCATCTTTCACACATGCATGTTTGTGGGTATTTTTGTTTGTACTGAGTTAGGAATCACTGTTCATTAAAAGAAAATGTGTCTTAAAGGAAGCAAACTAGTTCTTACCAGAGCCAGTATTTTCCATACATGCGAAACACTAAACTCAGATAAAGCATGGGGGATGCTGAGATTCAGTAGCGTTGGAAGACTGGGCCAGATCTTACCCACTGGCTCCTAGATTGCATGGCTCTGGAGGCTTGCTAGAAAGCATGGAGCCTCCCAAGAAGTTCTTGGTCATCTAGTTTTAAATGACCCAGACCACCTCATTTCCTTGGCTGGGGTGGGATGTTGGAAATTTCTTGCAAGTCCCATGCTCTAGGGATGAGCAAGACATTGGTCCATAATGCAAGGAAGTGGTTCAACCAGAAACAGTCCCAGAGGCTGTTCCTGGGTCATGGCTGTTTTGGAAAAAAGCAGATTGTTGGGAACTCTGAGTGGCATAGATCTACCTGCTGGTGACCACGTAGTTCCCTGGAGAGGCAGCAGCTGCATTTAGTGAAGGCTGGCATCTTCTCAGAAATGTTCAAGACAGCCTTCATGGCCCCTGCCTTGGGAGGAGAGGACCAGATCTGGTTAGGTTTAGTGCTCTGAAGAGAGACCACTCAGGTGGGAATGGAGTTTATGATCAGTGAAACTAGTACCGTGCTTTGTCTGGTTCCCTGATTTCTTTAAATGTGTTTAGTGGTGCTGGTGAGATGTTCAAGCATAAGGACTGTAGTTCAAATCCCCAGCACCCACATAAAGTTGAACATGACTATGTGTAGCTGGTCTTTGGTACTTTGTGAGTTCTTTTTCTCACCTTTTATCCTTCCTGGTTTCACTCCCAATCACTAGATAGGAGATATATATATATATCCCTGATCTAATTTCTTTCTTTTTGTTTCTTCTTTGAGCACAACTACTCACAAACTGCAACCAACCCCTCTAAATGACTGGCAGCCACCAACTGCCTATCAGGGCTCTAGCCTTTATATATCCTCTGAAAACTTCCCAGAATTCCAAATGTCACGTGATCTGCACCTGGCAAACTACACCCCTGCTAGAGCATGAGGCAGTCTTGGTCAGCTGCTGCAGACAGTCTGAAGCAGCCCCACATCCCCAAACCTGAAATTGAAACCAAAGCACATTCTCATCACTACCACTGTGTGTGTCTGTAACTCTGTCCTGGAGTTAGAGTCAAACTAAGAGGATCCTAGGACCTCACTGTCTAGGCAGTCAGCCAGAACAGGGAGATTCAGCCTCAGAGACTTTGTCTTAGAAAATGGATGGAGAGTGGCTGAGGAAGACATTGGATTTTTGGGCCCTCTACACCCATACACATGTGCACAGAGATACATGCATATGCTCCACACAGAGGATTTTGTGTTCTCTTTTGAGATATGGTTTTACTACTTAGCCCCAGCTAAACTGGAACGCACTATGTAGATCAGGCTGGCCTCGAACTCACAGAAATCTATTTGTCTTTGCTACCCAAGTTCTGGGATTGTGTACCACAACACACTACCCAGAAAGGGTTTTGTTACCAGGTTTCCTGTGTAAGAAAAGATATTCCAGGTGGTGGTAGTGTACACCTTTAATCTCAACACTCAGAAGGCAGAGACAAGTGGAACTCTGTGAGTTTGAAGCCAGCCTGGTCTACAGAATGAGTTCCAGAACAGAGAGCCAGGGCTGCACAGAGAAACCCTGTCTTGGAAAACAAAAGAGGGAAAAAAAGAAGAAAGAATTAATATAATGATAAACAAAAATGGAGTATACTCTATGTAACAACTTCATTTCTTATGGCACAATATGAAGTTTAAATCCTCCTGATAGGAAAGTCTCAGTGTCTGAGTTGTCAGATTTCCCTTTAAGGGACCTGAAGCCACAACCCAGGAGTGTGCAGATAGATTGCTACTTCCTGGATATGTTTGAGAGCCAACTGTTAACTCCTCAAGGTCTTACCTTAAGAGGACGCAGCATTGGTCACAGTGTTTCCTTGATATCCAAGTATGAAATGACCACTGTCTCTTCCCTGCCTGTCCACAGGTCCTGGTCCAGTGGCGGGAGGTTACATCAGTGCAGATGTATTACCGACAAAAGGAGGCAGCCGCCCTCAGGGAGGCCCGGAAAGCACTGGATAGAGGTAAGAGAGCCCTATGGGAACAAACGACAATGGGAGGAGTGTCAACACAGGACTTCCTAAAGCTTTGTGTGCTCTACGGGCTCTGTCCATGTGTCCTCTTCCCTGATCCTCCCATGACCAGGAGGCTTCAAACAAGAGCTCATTTTTCTCCGTGTCAGAGGCCAAAGGCTCTGGAAGAGAATCCTTGCTGGGCACCTCTAGCTTCTGGTTGTTGCCATCTCTGGTTTTCTTTGGTGATGTGTGTGTGTGTGTGTGTACATATATATAGATAATTGATACTATATGATATATATTTATATAATATATAAATTTATTAACTGAGATTTAAAATAATATTATCCACATTATACCTGAGGTGCTCAGAATCCAGTACTTGTCCTTGAGGCTGGACCTTAATAGTCAGTACAGAGTAGCTGGGGTCTTACTGGGACAGGAAGCAGGAATAACAAGGTGGCTATGTAGTCTTCCAGGTAGGATGCTCAGTGGTCCCTTCGTGGTGCTGGAAGCCCAGAAATTTCCCAGAGAACTGTTTATTCTTAGTCCATGTAGCTTGAAATGCTGATTTTGCTATGAGCAAAGGAATGAACAGTTGAAGAACCAACAGGGCCATCTCTGAAGAACTTTTCTTAAAATGGTCAGTGGCACAGGCATGTCCTTGGAACAAGGACTTTAGGGAGCTAAGTACAAACTACCATTTGTGGGAGGGATGCAGTAGCACTGTGGTTTGGTGCCTTTCTTGTTTTGTTTTATTTGTTTTTGAAGTGGGATCTCTTTATAGTCTTGGGTGTCCTGGAACTCACTATGTAGACCAGGCTGGCCTCCAACTCACAGAAATGTGTATGCCTCTGCCTCCTGAGTTAAAGGCCTGTGTTCATTGTCTTGTCTGATATTAGACCTCAGGATTTCTGCCACACCTTTTTAGAGCCCAGGGGAAAATGTCCTTAGACACAGGAATAGATTTTACCAAGTACAGGCTTGTAGTCCCAGCACTGGGAAGGCAGGAAGGAGGCATGCTGGAGCAGGGAGCTTGAGGGCAACCTAGAGCACACAGTGAGCACCCTTCCGCTTTCTTCCTCCCATTCTTTTCTTTGTAAGATTACATCATTTCCTCCTTCCCTCTCCTCCCCACAAACCACTTTTTGCTCTCTTTCATCCTGACCTCTGTTTTTGTTGTTATTATGTATCCTGCTCAGTCGGTAGGTCTTAGTAGTCTTAGTATCTGGTAAGCTCTTTCCCGAGAAAGACTTTTTCTCCCACTCTCAGCAGGTCTTAGTTCCCTAAGAAGTTCTTTGAATAGAGGTGAGGCCTCATGGGCATTTCCCCTTCCACTGTGGCATGTCCATCAGTGTCCCTGTTTGGCTCATATTTGGGCAGTCATGTTGATGGCTTCTGTCATTACTAGGAGACACATTCACACAGCAAACTCCCTGATCTTCAGGTTCTTAGAATCTTTTCTTCCCCAAAATGTTCCTGAGCCTCAGGTGTGGGAGTGTTTTGTAGATGTATCCATTGGGTCTGGGTTCCATAACTCTGCATTTTGTTCCCCTCTACTTCAGTACCTTCCTGTTAAGTTGTTCCTTAGTGATGATGCTATAGAGGTAGCTAGGAAGATAGGTACACTTAAGGCTGCACCCAAGATGTGAAATGGCTGGTAGACACCATCCAAGATAAACCTCATGACTGCTACCTTCTCTGGAGCCTATGAATGGAGGTACCTCCTGTATTAGGCATTCCCAGGCCCCAGGACATGGCCTACACCGTGGGGCTCAGAGAGATCAGTTTATTACTTTTCATACCTCAGACTCACTTGACTTCATTCTCTGAGCTTTATTTCTTGCCTCTTAAAATGAGGCTGTACCTTCTCCAAGGCTGGGCTCCCGCAGGAAGCTCCCCTTTGGGACTAAGAGTCTCCTTCTCCATGCCTAGCAGCTATTGGTGTTGCTGTGTGGGGCCTGGGACACCTGCAATGACTGTGAAAAGCTATGGGACAACACTTGGAGATGCAGCAGCAAAAAGAAATTCTAATTCCAGTTTCCACACTGCAGAGATGACCAGGCCTGGCTGGCCTTCCACAATGGCTATGGATCCTGTGGTGTTTTTTTCTCACAAAAGGCTGGCGGGCACATCATATAACCTCTCCACTCTCTAAGCCCTTCCTGTGCCACAAAGTTACATATGAATGAAAATCCTGTACAGTTTTCAGCGGGCTTACATCTGCTTCAGGTCGTCTCCGGAACTGGTTTCAGCACTGGCGGTTCTGTAGCCAGAGGGAGGCCCAGCAGAAATTCCAGCTGGAACAGGCGGCTCAGCATTACCACTGGCAGCTGCTGATGGAAGCAATGGCCAGGTGGAAGGCACACCATCTGGGGTGTGTCAGAAAGAAGGTGAGGCACATGGTAGCAGCTTTCCAAGCTCTGCATGAGTCAGAGGTGTCTTGGGCAGGTGCCTGTGTCTTGGGAAGGGGTCTCCAGACAGAACTCTGGGCAGCAAGTATTAGTGCTGGGATCCTGCAGAAACAAGGCTGCAGGAGTTGCTGCAGGCTCCCATAAACGTAGGAATAGCCAGCCTCAGAATCAAGTCTACCTCAGAAGGCTGCTCAGAAGAGAAATCTGCTTTCTCCTGGCCCCTGACTTTTTAGGTCTGCAGAAACTATGGGGCTATCAGACCCCTAACCTGGGCAGGAGTCCTTGGCGTCTGGGACAGCTCTTGGTAGAAAGGTGTTCACTTGGGAGGAGGCTGGGGATAGACCCTGAGTTAGGTGATGTGTGAAGTCTGACTCCTTGTGCATTTGCTTTCCAGTTTCTGCAGAGGCAAGCTGCCCAGCTTCTGGCACAGAGACTTGGTCGAGCCTGCTTCTGCCAGTGGAGGAAGCAGGTGAGAACCAGTGTAGCACTTTCTGCCTACTGGCAAGACTTTAATACTGTCTTTGTCCCAGGGCTCCATCCCTGTGCCCCACCCCAACCCCTCGCACTATCAGCTTCCTTCAGATGCCATTTGTAGAAGGCTAGTCTCTTTGATTCAGGTTTCTCTTACAGTGTCATCTTAAACACACTGGAATAATACCCCAAATTTAATGTGAAATGAATTTTAAGTCTTTGTTGGGGTTTCGGTAGAAAACCAGAAGGCCACACAGTCTGCTCAGCAAAGCCAAGTTGATAGTCCACTCTTGCTCTAGGCTGGAGAGCCTTGGGCTCTGCTCCAGGCTCCCACAGCATTGCTCTGTGAACCTGTTGACTCTGTCCATTCACCACCTCTGACTGCTCTGTGCTTTCTTCCCTTTGTACTGTCCATTTTTGTTCATACTCCCTGAGTATATTACTATGTCAAGGTCAGGTTGAGGCTGGGACCTGAACCCTTCCCAGGAGGAGGGAAGATGGTTTAGCTGTTGAGCTGAGAGTAGCTATTACCATGTTTGCCTATGCATTCCTCTGAAGAACCCACTCTTTCTGGCCCACAGCTGGCAGTCAGGAAGCAAGAACAGTGGGGTACAGCCCGGGCCCTGTGGTTCTGGGCCTTCTCACTACAGGCAAAGGTAATGGTTCTACAATTCCCTGGCTACTCTTACCTTCAGGGGCTGCTCTGTAGGCTGGGTCATGGGATCCCTCATGGAAGCCTCAGTCTCATCTCTTGCCCTCTCTTCTGCAAGGTGTGGACTGCATGGCTGGGCTTTGTACTTGAGAAGAGGAGGAAGAAGGCACGGCTGGAACGGGCTATGCAAGCCTACCACGAGCAGCTCCTACAGGAGGGTGCCACACGCCTTCTGCGCTTCACAGCTGGTATGAAGGCCTTCCGGCAGCAGCTCCAGGCCCAGCAGCAGCTCCAGGTAAGCCAGAGCTGCTGGTAAGGAACTGGCAGGGCAGAGCAGGGCAGGAGCTGATGAGAAACTGTGTTGTAGGCAGCCCACAGCCTCCACTGTGCAGTCCGCCATTGTGCTGAGCTCTGGAAAAAGAAGGTACTTGGTCCAGGCAAGACTTTTCAACCACCAGAACCCATCACATTCAGCAAGAGAGTGACATTTAAGGATTCCTCTCTCTTTGGACGTGCTGCTGAAGCTGGAGATACCCTGGAGACAAAGCAGCTGCGAGCTCCTCCATCTCAGGGAGTCCTGGGTAGCTTGGCAGTAGCTGCTGGGGAGCCCTGCCTCCTAGACCTGTGAGTGGCCTGTGGTTCACCTCTGCCTCTAGTCCTAGAGCAAAACCTGGGTGCACACATGAGGGACAAACAGCCGTAGGAAGGACAAGACAAGAGTGCCACAGCCTCATCACACCAGGGTGAATGCTCTGTGAGGCCATTCTTCCCTGGGCATTGGAGAGTCAGTGGAATTTCCCAATTTGTTCTGAGGAGACTGTTGTCCCTTACCGCGTGACGTCTACTTCTCCCTGTTTATGAGGCTCAGCAGTCAAGCCCTCATGCCTTGTCTTAAGCTTGTAGCCTCCCTCCTTCCCTGTCAGAAGCTGCACTTGTTGTGGGTCCCCAATCTTTTCTCCACCTCCTTGGATGCCTTCTCACACTCCTATGCGCACCACTCTTGAGAGGCAGTTGTCATTCCCAGAGTAACCAGCACTGAGTCTCAGAACTCATGATGGGTAGAGTGTTCATCCCTGCTCTGTCCCCTTCACCCCTAACCTTGGTAGGACCCTGAATGTCTCACAGGGTCTTCTGATAGGAAATAACACATACTGTCAGCTTGCTGTGAAGGTCAAAAGAAACAGGTGCAGCTCTAGCACCCAGGAATCAGGCAGACTGTAAGTTCATGTTGAGTTGTCTAGGCTCAGACCTACCCTGTGGACATCCCTGTAAAAGGCCAAGGCCTGAACCTTAGAGATCTCAGGTCTCCCTGCAGACCTTGTCAGTCCAAGGATAAGAATTTTCTCTCCAGCAATGTGGCCCGCTCATCACGGAAACAGCCCCGGCGTCCATCCTTCCTGCTGGAGCGTTTGGGGAGCCAGAGGTCTCCAGAGTGGTGCACCCTTGGGGAGCAGCAGTAAGTTGAATGGTTGTGAGTCCAAAGGCACCGGAAACTATGTGGTCCTATATTTTATTGGATATGTGGTCCCTTTAATCCAGAAAAAGGTTCCATGGTGTGACCAGATCTACTTCTGCTCAGGTTAGAGAAGCCCCCAGAAAAGGGACAAAGCATGGCTCTGCTAGAAGGCTCTTCCCTGATGAGACCCTTTCTACCTGTGGTCCTGCCCAATGTTTCTGGTCCGAAGCTGCCTCCTACAGCAAGTCCAGGCCTGGAGCTGCTGCGTCCTTCCTCCTTCATGCCCCATGGGGTGGGAGATGCTGCCAGGGTGAGTTCTCCACTGGGCTGTCACTCACTCTCCTTTGTCCTTCTTCCAGCCCTTACTACTCTTCTTTCTAGAATACCTTGATCACGCAACAAGCTTGGGTGCCCTGCACACCAGGCCTCAAACACAGCAGTGGCTAATTTGCTAACACCCCAGCCCTTGAAAAATGTCTGGTGACAGGACAACCAGAACCACCTTATGGGCAGGCTCCCAGCAGGACCTCTGGTCTTGGGGGAAGCGGAAGAAATTGAGAATTGGCTGTTGTAGAGCACAAGTGCTGGGGCAGCCATGAGCTGTAGCCTCTCACTGTAGGGGTGACAGTCTGTTGGGGACTGTGGGGCAAAACTTACTATGGTAGGTATGGAGAGGGAGGAAAAGGAATCCAGGGTCACTTAAGAAAGAATTCTTTTATTAAAAGATAGAATCTGGGGTGGGTCCAGTGTCTGGTGAGACAGTTGGTTCCCTTTACCCTATCAGATCTGGGAGAGCAGCACTCAGCTGGCCTTGAAGGCTGTATCTATGGTACAGGGCAAAGTGTCATTTAGAAGAGCATAGGGGACACGGGGTCCTGGGCAGAGGTAGCCAGGGAGTGCTCCTGAAAACAGCTGGCATCTCCTAAAAGTTGGTGCTGACTGGGGAGGGGTGGAGACAGGAAGGAGGCAGTTTGTGGTGATACATGCCTGGTAACAGAAGTGACATACCCCAGTCCCAGCACTTAGGCGGTAGAGGCCGGAGGCCGGAGAGCTCAAAATGAGCCTGAGCTTTATAGCAAGACTCTGTCTCAGTCAATTAGTATTTAAATAAGTATTTTAAAAATAGTGGCACATAGGAGAGAAGACTTGGGGGCGCCAGAGTGGTGGGACAGGAGTGCTGCCCTGGACCAGTCTTCCCCTGAGGCTGAACAGGCAGGGCAAGACTTTGTGTGTGCTGGCTTGTTACTCCTGTCACCAGCTATGAATCAGGTCAGGACCCACTTCCCGGGGTCCCTACTAGCTTCCTTGTTCAGCATCCACCCCCTTTTCCTCTACAGGTATCACCAAAGCCCAGCATCCCTGGACCTCAATCTTACAGGTGCCCATCCTTAACCAGGGACCCTGATCCCCATCTCCTCCTCCATGGAGATTCCACAAGCACCAGGACTGGGCCTGGTTATGGCTCTGAGGCTATAGGTGAGCATGTCAAGGCACTGGGCCACCCTCCTACCAAAGCCCTACCAGTCTCTCTGGTTCTAAAGGCGATGGTGGGCAAGGTCAGGCTTACCTTCTTGTTGCTGCAGGCCACACAGAGCTCGAGGCTGAGTTGGAGGGGATCCAGCAGCAGTTACAACACTACCAAACCACCAAGCAGAACCTTTGGTGAGGCCCACCGAGTGCCCTGGGACCTGTCTATGGGAATAGCTGTGGCTGGGAAAGGCAGTTGGTTCTATTTCCTGCAGCAGAGGCTGGGAAATGGAACAGGCAGGGCAAGGCTTTGTGTCTGCTAGCTAGTCATCCTTGTCACTGCAAGGCCCAGTGGGCTATGAATAAGAACAGGACCCACTTCCCAGGGTCCCTATTAGCTTCCTTGTTCAGCATCCACCCCTTTTCTTCTACACCTGTTGTGCTCTAACTCTAGGGGGTGGGGTAAGTGTCCTCAGGTACCTTTATCCACTCTAGGAAGGGCCAAGTTGACATTACCTAGGAATGGAAGTCCTGCTTTCCATTTGGAGGCTATGTAAAGCCAAGCAAGACTTGCCTGGGTTCTGTTACCTACCCAACCAGCATAACTGTAATGCTGACAAGGGACAGACACCGTGGGCCTGGGCCCTAGTTACACCCAGTGTTCTGGGGACTGTTGACATTCAGCAGCTTTCAGAGGCCTCAGTGAAAAAGACTGGTACCCCTAGAAAGGGACAGAAGAGTTGTTTTCACACAGGCTCACATGAGTTGCTGTTTGCCGGGGAAAGACAGAAGATTATCAGTCATTCTCTAGAAGCACTTTATTAGCAAGTACGCCTCTTCAAAGGGCTCC